CATCGGCATCGGCTATTGAAAAACCCATATCGGTCGACCTCTATTCAAATCCCATGGAGTAAACATGACCATTTCCACTGCAAAGCATGCTGGGAATGAGCAAGCTTGAGAAAGTGGCACCATGGTGGGTTTGCCTGCCTGTCACTACTGCATACAGGCTCTTTATGCCGTTAATGAATATATTTCATGTTTAGCATCACTTACACATACATACTGGTTATTATGGGAAATCTTAGCGAAACAGAAACTCATTAGAAACCCCATATTTACCCCGTTGCAGATTTACACAATGACTGTATGACCCATAATCAATCTCTAACGATATTGCGTCACACACAAACACACCCAAGACCATAAGATATCTCAATGCCCCCACTGAGCCAGCAAAGCCCTATTTAACAATCTGCATAAAACACTGAAATCTGCTGTTTTTCCAAATGCATTCTAATGCTAATTGCATTAAACGTTATGTAAACCGTTTCTCTGTTTATTACAGTTTTACTGATAGCATAAACATACCCCACATCACAAAGTGAGAAAACGAGTCTGGCGTGTTGATTATGTTCTGTACACTCTCCTTTAGGGGCGGGGAAGCAGGCACCCTCCTCTGATTTGCCCGTTAACCTTCACAGCGCAGATAAGCTGCTCACGCCATTGGCCCAAACCCCACACAAAGCTGACAGGAGTGATAAAGTCAGACGCAGACACAGATACCAGTCCTGTGTCACCGAGTTACAGTCAAGCTGAAATTTACCAAAACGAGGATTAAATCACATAGCAGGCACCACACAACCTGCTTAGAGTACGACAATAAAAACCTACATACCTTCTGAGCACCAACCTTACAGTTTCATAGTCCCCCACATCCAAAGAAATAAAACTGGTTTTATTGGAAGCACAAACAGGCCTGGCGAAGACACCAAACTATGGTCACATGTTCGGTCAGCCTCTCTAATCAACAGAAACAGTGGTGCCGTGCTAAAGGAGGAACCACGGTTTACACAGGTGAAAAGCTTTTTCCAGAGCATGCAAGTCTTCAGCAATGTTCTGCAGGACGTTCAAGTCCAGCTACATGCTTTACAGACATCATCTCAGGAGGGTTATTTACTCCAAATGCAATGAGACATAAAAGCAGCAGTTTCTTATGACTCAAGCGACATCTGGCTAAATGTTGGCGCTGTCTGCTGTGTCTGGTACGGCGAAATAAACATCCTCGCTGGAAGCACGTGACAGCATTACTATCGTACATACTATATCTTTCATCCATTTACACAGTAGAATATCGAGGACTGAGAAGCAATGTCTTCATTTTGCAGGCTTATGCCTTCTCAAAAATGCCATTTCTGACACAGAAACTGCATTAATAACAGACAGGAAAGAAATGTAGAGTGCACAGGGGAGGAGACGGAAACAAAGGCAAAAGGCTTGTGTTTCTCCCGCAGTGATTCTGTGAGGCCCCGCAGCGCTTTCTGCAGGGTTAATCAGACAGTGTAATCAATGGCAGGCTGCGCCCAGCACGCAGGACCTCACCTACAGAAATACAGCTATTAACTGAGGGGCACCATGTGCTGAGATTCACGTCACATGCAAAGTAAAAAGTCAGCATCCACAACATCAGATCCTGTCTTCGTAACCCCCAAAGAAAAGGATCAGAACCCCTGAATCCCAGCACTGAAGAGAGAGAGAGAGAGAAACCCGGAGAAGTGAAGGCTGCACACTATAGGAGCACATGGTAGACCACGGAACAATGCATCGCGTTTAAGAGGTTGCAAGTTGCATGTACACGGTTTGCACCCTGCATGCACGCCGGGACTAACAGTGGGTAAAGGCAGCAGACAATACCCCGAATCGCCAGCATCTTACCGTCCTGCTGCGGAGGGAGAGTCCACGATGCCACTTCGGTCGCCATGTCTCCGCCTGCGCCCTGAACGTCGAAGCTGCCACGAAAACAGGGCGCCTCATGTCATGTGGGGGCATGTGCCGTGCCCGCGCACCAAGAACGCGCGTCCGCGATACCGTCCATTTTAGAGCACACACCTACCTCTCCGGATAATCAGCCAGCAAGGGAAGTACTCAGCAAAAACGTAAAATGCACCATATACACTAACGAGATCCGCTATGTGGCGTTGTATATTCCCTGAAATATAGACAAAATAAACTACGTGTGAATATAATATGTTTTGAAATTGTACACGAAAAAAAAGCACTGTAAAAATGCAAAAACAGCAGATGTAAGGCAGCCAAGTCGCACGTAAACACAGCCTGCTTTAACTCAGGGGCACACGGCGAAACACGTGCCCAAACCGAGTACAGGGACTGGCTGCCAGTAGGGCGGGACTGTTCAGTACAGACCAATCAGCGGCCCTGTAAGGCGGGCTTTCTTTTCCCCGCCCTCCACAATCTTCTAAAATTCTTTGCACATGGTGCTATTTCATCTGGGCCTAGGGACAGGATTTTATATTGTAGTGCTTATTAGCCTATTGTATTTATTGTACCGTTTTAGCGAAGCACGCAAATGATAATTCTATTGTGACTCTGACTCCTTTACAGCAAGTACAGTATGTTTGTAATTTGCCTTACTTGTATGTCAGCTTGGACAAAAGTTTCTGCCAAATAAAGTAAATGTTAATGTATTATCTCTGCAGATCCACATGTCCATAGTCTGATATCTACTGAAAGTTAAGAAATAATCACAGGCTCCGTTTATGCACCACTAGATGGTAGCCAAGAGAAAGGGATTTCCTGTCAGTTAGGGTTGACTGGATTCTGCTCTAAATTTGAAGACATTTCCATTAGTGTTGGATCAGGCACAAGAAGGCCTGTGAGTACCTGCAGACTGCAGCAAGTAGTGTTTTTGTTGAGATTACTGCATGCCCTGGAGGTGACGCAGGCGTGCTGATTGCTAAGGGCTAATCAGAGTAGCCTTCGGCCTGGAGGGCCTTTTATAGCCCATCGCGTACATCTGACGTCTCAGAACATCCATCATTTCAGCAGACGGAAAGTTTCACAACGGCAGATGGTCTCATTGTCACTCAAGGATGAGATACTGTACATTTTAGTCCATGATAAAAAAGCACAGGCCTGACAGGGTCAAAGTGGACGTGCACCATGAGGCATATCTGCAGTGTGCTGAGCATCTCAGGGACATGAGAGCAAGGTGCTGCTCTGTGGGGATATATCTGAGATCCCCACACGGTCATGCGAGCACCAATGCGTTATTAGACTAAGTTATCTCCTACTGTGTTTTAATTATTGATCACAAAGAGGTATAGATTTAAGCATAAATATATAAGTATAAATATAAGTATAAATATATAAGTTTAAATATATAAGTATGAATATAAGTATACATATATAAGCATAAATATATAAGTATGAATATAAGTATAAATATATAAGCATAAATATATAAGTATGAATATAAGTACATATATAAGCATAACTATATAAGTATACATATATAAGTATGAATATGAGTATACATATATAAGCATAAATATATAAGTATAAATTTATAAGTATAAATATATAAGTATGAATATAAGTATAAATATATAAGCATAAATATATAAGTATAAATATGTCTCCAGCCTCCCATAACTAAATAATTGATAACTTGTGATGTTTACTTCCATAACAGAGTCTGCAGTCGCCCCTGACCTGCCCCCCCCCACCAACCCTCGAGGCCGCGTGACGCCTGCAGACGTTTCATAAAGGGGGGAGCCACCGTCCATGCTTAGAGCCCTGTGTCCCTCATGGCCGCTCTGGACCTCCCCGCTGGGGTGCTGCTCTCGCTGTTGGCGCTGCTGGCGGCGCTGCTGTTTGTGCCCCTGTGCCGTCGCCGCTGCCCCACCGCACCGCACCTGCCCTGCCTTCCTTCTCTGCCCGTGCTGGGCAGCCTGCTGAGCCTGAGGGGCCGGGGGCCCCCCCACCTGCTCTACGCTGAGCTGGCACGGGACCACGGCGCGTTGTTTGCCCTCTATCTGGGGCCGCACTACACTGTCGTGGTGAACGACTTCAGGCACGCCAGGGAGGTGCTCCTGCAGCGCGGCAAGGACTTTGCTGGCAGGCCAAAGATGGTGAGTGGGGGGCACTGTGCTTGTGAGAGAGCATGCGGGAGCGTGTGACAATATGTTTCAGTGTGTGCAAGTTATGTATGAGAGTGTATGCATCAAAGTGTGCAGGAGCATGGGAGAGTATGAATGAGTGTGAATGTGTGTGTGAGAGGGAATTTGAATGAGTGTATGTGTGTGTGTGTGACAGAATGTTTGATTGTGTGTGCAAGTGTCTGTATGTATGAAAGCATGTGTATCAGAGTGTGTAAGCATGTGAGAGTATGTTTCTGTGTGAGGGAATGTTTGAGTGTGTGTGCAAGTGTTTGTATTTATGAAAACATATGTATCAGAGTGTGACCATATGAGAATATGTAGGTGTGTGTCTTTGTGTGTGACAGTATGTTTGAGTGAAAGTGTTTGTATGTATGAGAGTGTTTGTATGTATGAGAGTGTTTGTATCAGAGTGTGTGTGAGTGAGAGTACATTTGAGTGTGTGTGTCAGCAAGAGTACGTTTTAATGTATGTGCGAGTATCTGTTTACATTAGAGTGTGTGTATCACGGTGTGTGTGAGCATGTGAGAGTATGTCTGAGTGTGTGTGTATCACAGCGCGTATGAGCATGTTAGAGTATGTCTGAGTGTGTGTTGCATTAATTTCCTCTGCCCCACAATCACGATGCCTTGTGAGAATCTGGCAAATGAAGCCTAAACTTACACTCAGAACAGATACCTGAGATTCTAAAAGGTCCTTATCCCCATGGCCTCTTCCCAGAGAAAACTACCACCAAGCTGCTAATCATAGGCATCTCGCTCACGCCCCCTGCAGGTCACCACGGAGCTGCTGAGTCGGGGGGGGAAAGACATTGCCTTTGCCGACTATAGCCCTCTATGGAAGAGCCACCGCAAGCTGGTGCACTCGTGCTTCGCCATGTTTGGAGAGGGGAGCAGCAAGCTGCAGGCCATTGGTGAGGAGGCCCTCTCGTTTTGGGGGGTGGGGGCAGGGGGGCACCCTCCGGGGCCATTTCTGCACAAAGCCAAAGATGCAGCATTTGCAGAGTCTGAGCTGTCAGCTCAGCTTCTCTAAGCTCCCTAGCTGCCTAACCTTGCCAACGTCCCTAAGGGCCCCTTTCTACTACACCGGGTAAACTTTTGGTACTTCAAAAAAGTTGTTGGTATTCCAGTGGTGTAAAAACCGGTACCTGCGCCGAATTACATCACAACTTAAGGGGGGGGGGGGGGGATTTTGTACTGAATTCAAAAATGGCTGTAGTATATTATATAACTGGACAATGTGCAATATTAATACCAACAATGAAGCTTGGGTCTCTTCATTTGTCCGCACATCCATTACTATTGCTTTTTTTTGTTAATTTATGGTTGTTTTCTGAGTTTGTAACTTTTTTCCAGATGTCAGTTGTATTATGTTTAGAGGCAGGCAGTTTGCATAATCAATCCATAAAGGAAAGTGTTTGCAAGTCCCACCCAAAGTACCAAAGAAGTACCCCAGCTGGTGTGGTACTTCGGGTACTGGAACTTTTGGGACAGGTACTCGAAAATACCATACCAAAAGTATGGTGCAGTGGAAAAACACCCTAAGTTCCCTAACTTTGTTAATGTTGCCCTTCAATCACAGGCGTTCACCCTCCTGTGACATCATTCACTCTCCCTTTTGCAGGTCTGCTTTGTGTGGGTCACCTTATGCAAGTGTGTGTGTTTTGACACAGTATGTGAAGAGGCTGCTAGCCTGTGTGCAGACCTGCTGGCGAAGACAGGCCAGCCACTGGACCTCGGGCTGGCCCTGATGCGAGCCGTCACCAATGTGGTGTGTACGCTCGTGTTTAGCTCCACCTACCAGCCCCAGGATCCCGAGCTCCACAGAGTCATGGACTACAACAGGGGCATTGTGCAGACCATTGCTTGTGGAGGATTGGTGGACATCTTCCCCTGGCTCAAGGTACTTTATGCTGAGCTCTTCCTGGTGGCATAATAGCCATAAAAAGCCATCCACCATATCTTTAACCCCCAATCATTTGAGCATGATGATATCACAGTAAGAAAAGTCTGCTTCAGCTAGTTAAATAACCAGGAAAAACCTTACTGGGAGAATTTTCTCCATAGATTTTCCCTAATAAAGATGTGATGAAACTGAAGAAGTGCATTGGTGTCAGAGATGAGCTGCTGAACAGGAAACTGAGGGAGCACAAGGTAAGACAGAGAGAGAGGAGAGAAAAGGCGGGAAACTGAGGGAACACAAGGTAAGAAAGAGAGAGAGGAGAGAAAAGGCGGGAAACTGAGGGAACACAAGGTAAGAGAGAGAGAGAGGAAAGGTGGGAAACTGAGGGAACACAAGGTAAGAAAGAGAGAGGAGAGAAAAGGCAGGAAACTGAGGGAGCACAAGGTAAGAAAGAGAGAGGAGAGAAAAGGCGGGAAACTGAGGGAGCACAAGGTAAGAAAGAGAGAGGAGAGAAAAGGTGGGAAACTGAGGGAACACAAGGTAAGAGAGAGAGAGAGGAAAGAAAAGGCGGGAAACTGAGGGAGCACAAGGTAAGAGAGAGAGGAGAGAAACGGCGGGAAACTGAGGGAGCACAAGGTAAGAGAGAGAGAAGAGAAAAGGCGGGAAACTGAGGGAGCACAAGGTAAGAGAGAGAGAGAGGAGAGAAAAGGTGGGAAACTGAGGGACCACAAGGTATAAGAGAGAGGAGAGAAATGGTAGGAGTAGGTGGGAGGGAGACATTATTTTGACTGCTCCCTGTGCAGTGTGGCTTGGGGTCTTCACATCCAGGCACTGTGCACAGAGAAGCTCATGTTACTCATTAATTTTTATAAACAAAAAGTGCAGAACAACTTCCCTGTCGTGATACGACGTCCACATCAAGGAAGCTAAACTGAAACCACAGGAATACAGTTCAGGTAAGTATCCTGTGCCCTGAGTGTTGGTGTTAGCCAAGTTATCAAAGTTAGGGCTGTTAGTGAGTAAGTATCCTGTGCCCTGAGTGTGAGTGTTAGCCAAGTTATCAAAGTTAGGGCTGTTNGGGCTGTTAGTGAGTAAGTATCCTGTGCCCTGAGTGTGAGTGTTAGCCAAGTTATCAAAGTTGGGGGTGTTAGTGAGTAAGTATCCTGTGTCCTGAGTGTGAGTGTTAGCCAAGTTATCAAAGTTGGGGCTGTTAGTGAGTAAGTATCCNTGTTAGTGAGTAAGTATCCTGTGTCCTGAGTGTGAGTGTTAGCCAAGTTATCAAAGTTGGGGCTGTTAGTGAGTAAGTATCCCACGCGCTTGGTATCTTTTAGGTGACTCATTGTTATCCTCTCTATTTTGATATTCTGGTCACAGATTTTCCTATTTCCTAGACAGCAAGCAAAAATATGGTTAGTTATTCATATTTTACTTTAGAAACATATACGATTTTTCTGTATTAAATCGGTATTCATTGTTTACAAATGGCTGTCTATTGCAAAATTATTTCTGATCTGGTGGGATATCAATTGTTCAAATTCTTCATTTTCCACCTGAATGAGTCCAGCTGGTTCATTTTCATTTGGTCTAAATATGCACCATGACTCACAACACGGCTGCTTTTTCAGTCGCCTCAACAACTGAAGAGTGAAAGTACATCCAGAAATATATGTAATAGCTACGCAGCCCTACTGGAAGCAGGATTCTGGTCCACATTTTCCAGAGTGTCAGTGTTAGCATGGGTTAATGTGTTTTATAGACTGTTAAATGTTAAATAATGTTCTCCGATGGGGTGGAGCCGGGTTACTGCATTTTGTGGTGGTGAACACTAAGATTTACAGGGTCAACCCCACTGATGCAGGAGAGCTACAGCCCTGAGGTTACGCGTGACCTGCTGGATGCGCTCCTGAAAGGCCAACAAGGCGCAAGGGACGAGTTCCGGATCACTGATGACCATGTCCTCATGACTGCGGCAGATGTGTTTGGGGCTGGTGTGGAGACCACCTCCACAACTTTACTGTGGATGATCGCCTTCTTACTACACTACCCCGAGGTATGGTCTGGGGACATGCATCCTGGGTGATATGAGTACCATGAGATATCTAGTTACAGCGGGCTGAAGCTTTTGTTTATGTTGCTGATGAGCCAGGAGCTGCTATCTGGAACTGGATGCTGGACCTGATAGAAGCATTTCTGCATGTAAAAATGATGAATGGGGTTTTTATCTCAAGGTGCAGGAGCGAATCCAGCAGGAGCTGGATGAGCAGATCGGGTTGGACCGCTCCCCCACACTGGAAGACCGTGGCCGGCTGCCTTACCTGGAGAGCACCCTGTGCGAGGTGATGAGGATCCGGCCTGTCAGCCCAGTTCTTATCCCACATGTGGCTCTGCAGGACACCAGGTAGCCTGGGAGATGCCTTATAGCCCTGTCAGCATGTGGTCCAGCTGGAGTTCATTAGGTCCTCTATGTTTATCTTTCAGCATTGGAGTACACCACATTCCCAAGGGTACACATGTGTTGGTCAACATGTGGTCCATCCACCATGACCCACAGAGGTGGGGAGACCCTGGCAGGTTCAGGCCAGGTAAGGTGACAGGTCCAGTCTGTGTCTGTCATGGAGAGAAAGACAGAATTTTGCCAAGGGGATGAATGAAATACCTCTGTAGGTGACACTGAGGTCTCCTGCTCACTTCTCCCAGAACGATTCCTGGACAATGAGGGCCGGCGCGTCTCTCCACCCTGGTTCCTCCCATTTGGGGCAGGGCCACGGGTCTGCGTGGGCGAGTCGCTGGCCAAACTGGAGCTCTTCCTGTTTAGTAGCTGGCTGCTGCAGCACTTTGCCTTCACCGTCCCACAGGGTGCACCCCTGCCAGACCTCCAGGGCCGATTTGGTGTCGTGCTACAGCCACAGGACTACATAGTCTCAGTCACCCCCCGTTTTGGGAAAGACTCTGACCCTCCAGAGATCAGGGAGGTAAAACCTGATCCACAGTGAAAAAGCATTAGCAAAGAAACACACTCCCTGTGACATTACTGCTGATGTCTCTGTAAGCAGCAAAAGTGTGATCTAAATATAAAAACAAAAGTAACAACAAGACTCTTGATGGTTATTGAAATAACTGCATTTCATCATGACCCTGACATATTCTGGGCAAATCCACAGGGTCCCTTGTGAGCAGTAATGACTGACAGGTAAGTCACAAACCAATTAGATAAAACATAAAGACCACCCTTATGTGAAGCAAATTTTGTTGACTATCTCATAAAAAAAGATCTGGGACATATTAACTAACATTTGGTACTCATAATTGAAACATTGAATGCAGAAGAAATGGACAGGAGTGAAGACCTGATTTTGACAATGGTCAAATCATTTTGGTCAGATGACTGGGTCAGAGCATCTCCGAAAACGTAAGTGTTCATTGTCAGCTGTGGTGAATGCCTACCAACAGTAATCTGAGGAGGGAAAATCCACAATCCACAGACAGGGTGTTGGTGATATTTGTCGATGCGAGATGTGAGCGAAGGCTATCCTGTGCGGTATGAACCAACAGAATGGCTACTGTGGCACAAATTCCAGAGAATTTTGATGATGATCACTGAAATAATATGTCACAGGAGTATATGTGCATCGAGCCCAGCTGTGCATGGGGCTGAGTAGCTGCATGCCAGTCAGAATGCCCATGCTAACCCCTGTACTCGTAACACTGGAAGCAGCTCCAACTGGCATGCAGGAATTGGAACTGGACCTTGGAGGGGTGGAAGAAGGTTGCCTTGTCTGATGAATAATGTGGACGGCTGCATGTTGAGCATCTATGGGATGTGCGATCTATGGCTACACAGCCCCATTACGCAGGAGGGCTCAGTGCCCTGTGTGTTGTGATACATTACTACTCTGAAACCTTACTCCTGTGGTACATTACTTCTGTAGCCATCATTAAAATTATCTGCCATTTGTGCCACCGTAGTCCTTCTGTTGCTTTGTTCCACACAGGATAGCCTTCATTCACATCACATGGTTGATTGAAACAAAATCTTGGTCTGGATTTTTACTTTTTGGATCTGAGATTTCCACCTCCGACTGTTGGTAGACACTCACCAGGACTGACTGTGAGCCCCCCACAAGCCTTTCAGTTTCGGAGATGCTCTGACCCAGTAGTCTGGCCATAATGATTTGCCCTTATCAAAGTTATTCAGGGCTTTATCTCTGCCCATTTCTTCTGCATTCTGTGTGCTAGCTTACTTTCTAATATATCCTTGGACATGGACTATTTTTAGGGTATAGGTGACTTTATTTGCTGGTCATAACATGTAGTGCAATTGGTGTACACCAGTGGAGTTAAGAGACACACAGAAACCAAGGCTAGCTCGGCTTTTTAGAATTTATTGAGTTAGGAGGTAACAGTAAACATCATAAATAACATGGGCGTTTGTTCCAAAAATTCCAAAAAACACCTACAGTTGAAATGATTAAGCAATGAGGAAATGCCAATATGTTAGATGTGTCCTCGAGCCATGCATGGGCACGATTTACAGAAGACCCGTCTTCATATAACAGCGACCTAATGAAGACCATGGCCAGAGGCCTTCATCACTCTCTCAGACACATGCTACCTAAAGCAGACACCCAAAACACTCTTCCTGAGAATAAAAAAAATCAAGTCAAATACAGTCATTCAGCCCCACCAGTGAAAACCATGTGAAATTACAGTTTTGTAAAGTCATGTAAATATGGGCCGTAAGGTTTATGACAATGAGTGATGCGTAACCAGGGAGCCTCATTAGTGTGTCACCATGGAGCAGTGGTGACAGCAGCTGCCTGGTGACCAGGTGACTGGCATCAATTTTAAATGTCCCCAAATACATTCAAACAGCCTTTAGAGACAAGCCACAGCAAGGGTCAAACAGAACATAATTTCTGAAAGATGCACACATCTAACACAGATGAACCCATAATGCTCCAAGTGTAACTATGCATGAGACAAAGGATTTTATGCTTAGAGTTTCTAGGTATTCAGATAAGATCATGTTTGAACATTATCAATTTTAATGTTGGCCTCTCACTTCTGGAGTGACGTGTTACACAGACAAATATGAAGCGTTTGAAGACACAGAATGAATATCTTGCAAGGTGAGCTTCACATCTCTTCATCCAATTTCAGATATTTACATAATGAGAAGATTATGCTCCCACGCTAGCTGGGAGACCTCTGAGTAAGTGACTGAGAGGTAATGCTTATGAGTGGGATTCAGTGTCACATCCTGCTTACTGCACCACGAAGAGACAAGGGTGACAACCTGACAGAAGCAGCAAACTGGCTCAGCTCTCTCTCACACATGCACCATTTTACTGTGGATCAGGAGAGGGGAAGGACAGTGCCATTGATGGGGATCAGCGGAGAGGAAGAGGACAGAGCAGGAATCAGTCAAAAGATCAGATTCTAGTGATGGGGACCAGCAGAGAGGGGAGGACAGTGCAGGAATCAGTAAGAGGACAAGGGGCCAGTGCTGAGGACCAGCAGAGAGGGGGAGGACAGTGCAGGAATCAGTTAAAGGACAAGGGGCCAGTGCTGAGGACCAGCGGAGAGGGGGAGGACAGAGCAGGATTCAATCAAAAACATCAGGTGCCATTGATAGGGATCAGCAGAGATCTTTAAGAGAACGTTCTCCGGGTGGGAGTACGTATTTAGTCAGAACATGGACTCCTCTCCAGGACCAGCATTTCTTGGTTCCCCTGAGTTCCTCCAGTGATGACAGAACCTCAGGATTTTCCTGAGAACTGTAGACCCTTGTTCATGGTCCTGGCAGTTACAATCTGTATTTACTCGCTCTTTCAGCAGCACACAGACGTGGGCTTAAACCTGTACAAATTATGCCCTTCCAGGACCGTGAACAGCAGCCTGTATTGGAATTTCTGAGAGAGTGAATAGGAGGGGGGGGGGGAACTGGGGTGTGGGGAGCACATGGTCAGCGTTTTCACTCTCCCCACCGATGCGTCATCCCTCGTGCCTCTTAGAGCTGGTCTCGCGTCAGTCACAGGCTGGCTTGTACCACCCTGTCCCATCAGCAAGACTCTCTGTTTACCCTCTGTGACACACAGCTGGCAAAACATTTAAAAAAGGAAATCTTAGCAAGGGTCAGTGTGGCTGCACGTGGTGGTAAGTGCCTTTCAGTTGATAGCACCTAACATCTCCAGAGGTCTAACTTATGCCAACACAAAGTGAGTCACCTTAACAGGGTAAGAGGGCAATCTCATTTCCGCTCCTGCTGCTTTCATTCATGTCAAATTGTTGTCAAACTGCTGTATGGAGCACTTGTGAAACATGTACAGAGGCAGTGGGATCGGTCACACGGTTAGCTAGATACACGTCACTAGTCACGCCATCCATGTGTGTCCTGGTGTGGGAATAAGGACATGTCCATACAGTATAAGCTGCCATCTAAGAGTTTCGAACAGTACATCAATCATTCATACAGCATTACTCAGTAGGAACAGCAGTTAATAGCTTGAGGAGGTGGAACCTCGTGCAGATACACACAGACAGTAATATTGCAGTGACATAAAGAATGACTTTGAAACATGGTCAATCAGAGATCAGGTCCATCATCAACCCTGCGAAGGCCCACAGGCAGGACAGGAAGTGCAGCAGTTAAGGACCAAGGTAGGAGAGACTCCTTAACCAATGCCTGGTAAGTGACCGTGGCTCAGCATGGTTAACCTGGTCAGACCAGAGCCCATGCTATGAACATGCTCTAAATCACATCTTCACCACGGACCTAAACAGAAACATGTAAGGAGACCACGAGGAGCATCTGGCTGCTTCCCTCAGAGAGGACACCCCTGGCAGTGTTAGTAAAAACAGTTAAGCAGCACTAACAGCAGCCTGCCCAGAAATCATCTAAGGACAGCTCTTTCCAAAGGGGAGGGAGGGGTGGGTGGCACCCAGGTCACAGAACAGGGGTCTGGCAGAAATGCGGCACTGGGGGAGGGCATCACTTCACAGCTCAAGACCAAAGTGTCCTTCAGGGTTCAAAAGGAGCACTTAAAGTCTTGTCTCTTGCTTTGGGAAGAGATAGAGCAGGCTTCAGTATCTCCACTACTCTGACAGCCACTACAGCAGTTTTCAACGCTCCCTCCTCAGTCTCCTTACTATGAGGTCCTAACGGCTGCAGTAAATAACATTGTTGGCACCCCCCTGGTAGCGTACCACCATCACCATTATTATTGCCTTTGTAACACTATTAGTTAGTATTTCAGTGAGCAGCCCAGGCGATGCAGAAGTGCATCATGGCAGCTTGCTGTCGTGGTTTGGTGAGAAAACCAGAGGGCGACACGTGCTGACCACCGAAAAGGAGCACCTGCATTTACTGCCCTTCAAGACTCCTGTTTGTTCTGAGTCACACTCGGAAAAGTGCTACGGCAGGTCGCCTGGGAGTTATAAGGCTCCCTGGGTTTCCTCGCTAAGTCGCCTTCTCTTTGGAGGATGTTAGTCCCACCTCACCATCCTCAGCCTACATGGACTCCACGGCGATGACAGCATCATCGACACAGCCAAGGCTCACACTGCCACAGACAGCACCTCCCTCCTCTGCCTTTGTCCCGCAGGTGACCTCAGCGCGACCCGTGCAGTCGGCGCTGTCGTGGATGGAGGCAATGCCCTCACCAGCCTCTGTGTTTCCACCAGCCCCTGCCTCCTCATCCTCGTCATCGCTCTCTACCTTGCATCGGCACACCTCGATGCCTGAGTCACCCGTCAGCAGCCGGTGCCGGAAGTGGCCACCCTCGGCGTGGCTGTCCTCCTCCTCGGCGTCAGATGTGTGACTGGTATCTGGCTCGAAGAAGTCCACAGTGGAGGAGAACAGGGTGCGCTTGGGCGGGGACAGGCTGCGCTCTGGGGAGGCTTGCTCGCATGGGGCCTGCTCTATGGGGGAATCTCGCTCACTCTGCTCTGCCACCTGTGGGGGTGTGAGGGTGGGAGGGGGCAGGGGTGGTGGGGAGGCTGTTGCAGGCCGAGCCGTGTCAGCGCTGGGGGCCCGAGACTCGTCCGTCTCCCCCGGCGTGCTGGCATTGCTGGTGTTGGTCTCATACGTCGCCTGCATGGACATGGAGCTGCTGCTGGCTGACACGCTGGAGCAGGACTCGCAGGAGCAGCTGGTGTAGTTATCCGAACTCTGGGAGGATGCCAGACCACTGGGTCCAGCGCGCTCGCCGTGCCGGCCCCCGTGCAGTGCGAATACTGTGCTGTATGGTGGGGGGGGCGTCCGGGGTTGTGCCGCCACCTCCTCATAGGACGGTAGCTTGAAGGAGGCCAGGAAACCTGCTGACACAAAAGGTCACATTTGTGTCTCAACCCCTCAGCACATTTCAGACAGGGAGACATGAGCATCTCCATGCGACGGTCAGGGACGGTCTGCGTACTGAGGTCCAGCATGGAGGCCGGGTGGCTGCGGGCGCCATGGTACGCCATCAGATTTATCTCTCGCTGCCGCTGCTGTTGCTGTACCCGCAGTTTGGCCCGCCGGTGCCGGTATGCGCAGCAGCAGCTGAACAGGATCAGCACGGTCCAGAGCAGCCAGAACCCTGCGGGATGCCACACAAGCTGAGCGCCTAAATCAGCAGAAGAACCTACTCCAGGTTCCTGCTCCATTTACATTTACGTATTTGGCAGATGCTTTTGTTCAAGGCGATAGCACAGTGCAAACATTCATGCTGTCAAGGAATCCACTAGATACAAGTGTAGCTAGGCAGAGCTTACAGTGAATCCCCCGGTATAAGGGGAAGCAGTTGTTGGAGCAGAAGTAACCCAAACAGCTACACAACTATGCAAAACAATTAACAAGATAAAAATAAAAACAAGAACCTAATAAGACTGTCTAAAGGCTAGTACATGCAACATAAGAATATTCAATGAACAATCAGGCTAGTAGAGGAATTCATGGAACAGATGGATCTTAAGGCGTTGCTTGGAGGTAAAGAGGGAGATGGTTCGTAAACTCATTCCACCATCAGGGAACCACACAAATGAACCAGTCTGGAGTGACACTTCTCACACGGTGATGGGAGCTAAAAGCAGCGATAGTTTGCTGACCAAAGGGGGCAAGGAGGTACATAAGCCGAGAGGAACCTCTTGATGGAGTTGGGTGCCTGTCCATTAATAGACCTGTAAGTCAGCACCAAAGATTGAATTTGATGTGAGCATCGATAGGAAGCCACAAAAGATAGATAGGAGGAGTGACTGTATACTAGACATGCTGCTGCATTTTGAATCGTCTCCAGTAGTCTGATAGCACAAGCTGGTAGACCTGGCAATACAGAGTTGCAGTAGTCAAGTCATGAAGTAACGAGTACTTGGACTAGAAGCTGAGTTGCATACTGAGACAGAAAAGGCCTAATCTTCCTAATGTTACACAGGGTAAGCTGTTATGTGCTCAGCAAAGGACAGCAGGTCATCTATTATTACCCCTAGGTTCCTGGCAGACCTTGATGGAGACAGTGTGGATGATCCAAGCTGAACAGCGATGTCATGGTGGATGGTAGGGCTGGCAGAGAAAACAAGAAGCTCAGTCTTGGAGAAGTTACGATGGAGGTGATAGTCCCTCATCCAGGGTGCGGTTTCTGCTTGGCATGCAGAGATCTAAGCAGAGACTGTGGTGTCATCCAGAGAGAAGATCAAGTATATCTGGATGTCATTGTTGTAGTAGTGGTAGGAGAAGCCATGTGACTGGATGTTCTAACCTAGAGGTAATGTAAAATACAGAAGAGGAGAGGACCAAGGACAAAGCCTTGGGGAACACCAGTTGTTACCTGATGTGACTTAGATACATCTGTACCCTAAGGCACTTGAAATGATCTGTCTGAGGTATGAATCAAATCAGCATCGGGCAATCCCTGTGATGCCAAGCTGAGAAAGATTCGCCAGGAGGATATGGTGATTAACTGTATCAAAAGCTACAGACAGGTATAGTAGGATCAGGACAGATGACTGGGATACAGCTCTTGAAGCTCTCCGAGTTTCCACAACAGTCAAGTGTCTAGTCTGAAACCAGACGGAAAAGGGTCCAGAAAGATATTCTTTAGTGAAAAAGTAAGAGATTCGCCTGAGGACAGCACATTCAAGAGTTATGAACAAATGAGAGGAGGGAGACTAGTTCTAAAACCATGAAGGATTGAGTGAGCATTTTTTAAGCAGTGATGTTACCTGAGCCTGCTTAAACTCAACAAGGAATGTGTCGATCAAAAGAGATGAGTTTATCAAGTGGGTAAGTGTAGCAGAGATGACCTTGGGAGGGGATAGTATCCAGTGGGTGGAGTGGGGAGTGAATGAGGAAAAAGGAGGAGAGATCCATGTGGGTGGAGGGTGCGGAGATCTGGCTGTCAATAGCTGCCACCTCATAGAAGAAAGCGGCAAAGTCATCGGCAGACAGGGTGGTGGATGGGGGGGAGGGTTAAGGAGGGCAATGAAACTGGAGAATAACTCGCGAGTGTCAGTGGTGGCAGAAAATTTTCTCTTGGAAGTATGGCATTTTGGACATGGGAAATGAAGACAGAAGTAACTGGCACTCAACCGGGTCTATGGGAAGTCTCCTTAGGTGAGTCTTGTGCTGTGTAATGTGTTACATTTGAAGTATGGTATGGAGGTCAGAGTAAATAGCTATTAATTCAGACCTAGATCCCAAACTACATTACCCAGGACACACAGCCCAAACCTGGCCCCCTAATGCAGGGTGTCCCCTGACTTACAGCCCTGCCCCGGCCCACTAACGCAGGGTATCCCCTGACTGGCAACTCTGATCCTGCCTGCTAATGCAGGGCATCCGCTGACTTATAGCCCCAACCCGGCTTGATAACACGGGGTGTCCCCTGACTTACAGCCCCGCCACGGCCTGCTAACAAAGGGTGTCCCCTAACTGGCAGTCCTGATCTTGCCTACTAATGCAGGGCATCTCCTGACTTACAACCCCAACCCAGCCCGATAATGCAGAGCATCCTCTGACTGACAGCCACAACCCAGCCTGATAACACAGGGCGTCCCCTGACTTATAGCCCCGACATGGCCAAATAACACAGGGCGTCCCCTGACTTATAGCCCCGACATGGCCCAATAACACAGGGCGTCCCCTGACTTATAGCCCCGACATGGCCCAATAACACAGGGCATCCCCTGACATATAGCCCCAACATGGCCCAATAACACAGGGCGTCCCCTGACTTACAGCCCCGACATGGCCCAATAAGACAGGGCATCCCCTGNACATGGCCCAATAACACAGGGCGTCCCCTGACTTACAGCCCCGACATGGCCCAATAAGACAGGGCATCCCCTGACTTATAGCACCAACATGGCCCAATAACACAGGACATCCCCTGACTTATAGCCCCAACATGGCCCAATAACACAGGGCATCCCCTTACTTATAGCCCCAACATGGCCCAATAACACAGGGCATCCCCTGACTTACAGTCCCGACTGAGGCCAATAACACAGGGCGTCCCCTGACTTACAGCCCCGACTCAGGCCAATAACANGACTTACAGTCCCGACTGAGGCCAATAACACAGGGCGTCCCCTGACTTACAGCCCCGACTCAGGCCAATAACACAGGGCATCCCCTGACTTACAGCCCCGACTCAGGCCAATAACACAGGGCATCCCCTGACTTACAGCCCCAAAATAGTCCAATAACACAGGGCATCCCCTGACTTACTGCCCTGACCCAGCCTGAAAACACAGGGCATCCCTTGACTTATAGCCTTTACCTGGCCTGATAATGCAGAACATTATAGTGTAACCCAATAGCACAGGGTGTCCCCTGACTTACACTCCTAACCCAGCCTGAAAACACAGGGCATCCTCTTACTTATAGCCCCAACATGGCCCAATAACACAGGGCGTCCCCTGACTTACAACCCTGACTCAGGCCAATAACACAGGGCGTCCCCTGACTTACAGCCCTGACACAGCCTGAAAACACAGGGCATCCCTTGACTTATAGCCTTGACCTGGCCTGATAATGCAGAACATTACAGCCTAACCCAATAACACAAGGTGTCCCCTGACTGACAGCCCCGTCCCGTCCCAATAACATAGGGCGTCTCTTGCATACAGCCCCGACCTGGCTTGCGAACATGGGTTGTCCCCTGACTTATAGCCCTGACTTGGTCCTTTGACTGACAGCCTCAACCCAGCCCGATAACACGGGCCATCCCAATTTACAGCCCCGACTCGGCCCGCTAACATGGGGTGTCCCTCGACTTACGGTCCCGACTTGGCCCGATAACTAGGGCATCCCCTCACTTACACCACAGCTCGTAGTAGTAGGTACAGCAGCCTGTCTCCCCACAGCAGTGGCCCGATTCACATAGGTAGCCGCCGCCACTGGGGTCCCCAGGGCAGTACTTTGGGCTGGCGATGACTGGCAGGCTGCCAGGAGACGGGTGCTTCACCCCCTGAGAAGGAGCACAGCAGGACCAAGGCCAGTCAGGATTCATCAAGCAAATGCCAACACAACCCTGCAACTGCAACTCTACCAGAAAAGATGTGGGCGTTCCTTACCTGGTCACGGGCGGTCATATCAGAGTCCGTAGGTGATACTCCCATCTGCAGTCAAAGAGAGATGCATGATTGACGAGGAACGTCACTCCGTAAAAGATGAAACAAGCTACTAAGTTGCACCCTGAGGAGCGTGTGAGGAAATAACCCCTGAAGCCATGAACTGAAACTCCAGGAAAGCGCAGCATGCGGACGGGCAGCGGGTGGCGACTGCCAGAAGCATCATGCCGCTGAACTCCACGGCTACGTGACAGCTGCCCGCCGTCCCTAATGGCGCCATTGTTAGCTGCCCCTCCAGGGCACAAAGTGACAGCCTTTGTTCCCCCTACAGTGACACGGATAGGGGACAAGCGCTGACAGCCTCCTCTGTCCAAACAGAAACCTCCAGAATCCTCCACACCCTCAGTGAGGCAGCCCTTTGGATCAAAGTCAAATAAGATTACATGGTAAATTACAGAATACATGATGCCACTATTTGCATCTTACAATTTTGAAAATCATTGCTTTATTTTATTATATGTAACTAAATAATTATATCAGACACATCTGAGCAATTGTAATGTATAAAATGACAAAAAAAAACACACAGGTCACAGTGGAGCCTGGAGCCTATGCCAGGCAGCATAGGGCATAGGGCAGAATGGAATACCAGTCAATTACAGGGCACAAGACAGGAAGGGATGCCAGTCCATTACAGGGCACAGGGCATGATGGGATTCCAGTCGATTACAGGGCACAGGGCAGGATGGGATGCCAGTCGATTACAGGGCACAGGGCAGGATGGGATGCCAGTCGATTACAGGGCACGGGGCAGGATGGGATTCCAGTCGATTACAGGGCACGGGGCAGGATGGGATTCCAGTCGATTACAGGGCACGGGGCAGGATGGGATTCCAGTCGATTACAGGGCACAGGGCAGGATGGGATGCCAGTCCAACACAAGGCACACACAGGCACTTACCTAACTGCATGATTTTAGATTGCAAGATAAATCCAGAACATACACAACATGGGAAGAGCATACTATCTCTTCAACCATATATAGAAATACCTATATAGATACCAGTAACATGTAACTAATTTTTCATAATTTTCTGCATTAAGTGCATTTAAGAACTGAATCTAAAACAACCAATATGATGTTCACCCAGAAGCATGAATCAAATCACTTTAAATGCAAATAAACTACCCTACATGACCATAGCTAGTCTGGGGTATCAAGGAGATTTTTAAAAACCAAAGGAATCAACACACCCAGAAACTACCCTGCCCTTACTGCCTCATGTTAATTAAGCAAATGTGTATTTTTAATTAAAAGATGAGACAGGTGTGCCAATAGGGGGTGCTCTTTCCTGTGCACTAAATGAAACGGTGAAGTGGCCATAATTCAGCAGAGGGTGCTGTCATTTGTTGATGTTGGCATGAAAGATCACGGTGTGGAATATCATATTATAAAGCCTATAATTCCTTAATTCATTTTTAAAGAAGTGTCCCATGAGATTAGCATGGCAGACAAACAAAATGTTGTGAACAGAGAGCATTTACCTCCAGTGTGTGAGTCACACAGAGATGCTGTAAAGGGCTCATGTGCACTTTCACATGTTTCTGCAGCCAGACTGTATACTGTATAGCAACCCCAACCTAAAACCAGAAAAAATATCACAGTGCATCTGCCTTGAGCTAACAGAACTCTGAAGTTTGTTTGAGCACAGGCCTCATATACATATGACATGATGGCTGCAGCATCCACAGCTGTTTTGGTGTGGAAAAACATGGTGACACACACACACACACACACACACAAACACATACATACACACACACATACACACACACAAACACAAACACACACAGACATAAAGTGACATAAACACTGACACATGCAGTGACATGCAATATGTCTGGTGACACAGTGACATGTATAGTGACACACACAGTGACGTAAACACTGACATGTGCAATGACACACAGTGAAATATGCAGCGCCATGTGTAATCATTCACACAGTGACATGTGCAGTGACATACACAGTGACATATTCAGTAATATGTGGAGTGACACAGTGACATATTCAGTAATATGTGGAGTGACACAGTGACATATTCAGCGATATGAACAGAGAAAAACAGTGACATCTGCAGTGACATACAGTGACATTCAGTAATATGTGGAATCTGCCATGTGCAGTGACATACACAGTGATATTCAGTAATATGCAGAGTGACACAGTGACATGTGCAGTCACTCACACAGTGACATGACACCCACAGTGACATATGCAGGGATACACACAGTGGCATGTGCAGTAACACAGTCAAAAGCATACAGTGACTCTCATAGGGGCATGAACGTTGATGTACACAGCAACACGCACAGTGACATACACACATCAATATGTAAATTACAAGGTACAATGAAACATACAGTAGCTTGCACACCACCATGAACAGTAATAGGTACAGTATTTGAAAGTGGACATGAACAGCGTCCTAGTCATACGCAAAATGTGCGCACATTGACATTCACAGTGACACGCATGTACGGTTAAAAGCACAGTGAGAAATGTACTGCGTTGCAACTATAATGCAATTATAATCCAAACCTCATGCATTAAATACTAAACTAACTGTTGGGGTTTTGTCGGATTGCGCCACACGACTTATACACATGACGTGCATGATCGATTCAGATTTATTGCAGAGATTTATTATGATCAGTCTGATATAACGAAGCCCAGTGTTAGCCTGCATGTTCCACATGCAAAATGTAACTCCATTTTCAAAAGAAATAAGCGTGGTGCTTTTGTGGTGACACACATTAAATGCATTCATACAATACAGTGTCGTTCCTGGATTAGATGGTACAAAACAGCCAATTCGCCGGGTATAGCGCGTATATCTTCCTATTTACCTCCGAATCATCACCGCCTAGTCGGTAATCCGTCCCAGCGTCCCGGCCTCGTAAACCACCACAATAAAAGCTTCAGGTGAAAATAAAATAAGCATGCGGCGCTAACTGTGCGCACCCATCACTCCTAGACTCAAAGCCGGCTTTAACCCAAAGCGTCCGCCATTTCCGTCCGAAGCGGACTCCTCTTCTCCGATCTCACATGTCCTGGTGTTTGCTGAACGGTCCGGCAGTTCGAGGGCCGGGAACCGGACCAGCGAGGGTGGCCAAGCATCGCGCCATGACCCCCGCCGTGAACGTCGGCTCCGGCCGCTAAGCGTCTTGGCTTTTTAAGGATTACGGACGGTAAATAACTGAAGTCAACAGTACATCAGCGTAGCCTACTCCGATTGGCTCGTCGGCGTCGGACAGCAGGGCAACAGCCAATCAATGACTCGAACGCTGGGCTTCTGAGGCGAGTTTAAATCTGCAGGCCGGGAATTGTTGTGATGATGTAATTTAGGCAAACCAGGGTGAGAGAAGGCCTGTGGCCTGTACTATGAAGCGGGGTTAGTGGCTGTTGGAGTCAAACTCCGCCGGGTCCGTTGATGAGAAGAGATTCACAGCACAGTCGAGGAGTAGTTGCAAGTCACCAGTTTATTCTCTGACAGATTGTAATCTGGGAGCGACCATCTGACATACATTCAGCATGTACAGGAAGAAGCTCGAACCATAGGTAACAGCTCTGTCCCTTTATAGGCCTTTTGGGGTGTGCCCCCCCCTTTTCTGTAGTTTTCCATCTACGTGACTACAACATATTTTGACATTTGCTCTAGTTAGTCAGTGAATACATGTTACCCCCCTTTATGTTAAGCAAAAGTTAAAAGAAGCATCGGTTATATGATGGGTTCCTGTCTTCCTGCTGTCTGGTACGAGGTCATCCTGACCTGCTCGCTTGCTGTCAGGTCCTGATTTCTCCCAACTGCATGGAGTGAGATCACCCCATCCTGCCGGCCTTGTATCGGTTCCCATGTCTATCGTCTGCATTAGGTTAGAAACTGTATTATTAGAAATTAGGAATTGTATTATTGTATAATTTACCCCTCATGGCTTATCGGGGTTACTTGTCGGATTTAAGGTACCACAGTTTAAATGGTCTTCATATTCGTTCACTTATATTTTGCCCAGTGCGGTACCTTAAATCCGACCAGTTACCCCGATAAGCCAGTAACCCCGCTTCATAGATCAGGCCACTGGCCACAGGTGATACGCTTAACCGCGGGGCGGGCGGGCGGACGGACGGACGGACGGAACCCCGTTTCCAAAAGAGTTGGGATGCTGTGTAAAATGCAAATAAAAACATTATACATTGATTTGCTAATTCTTTAAACCCGTATTTAATTGAAATAGAACCAAGACAACAAATTAAATGTTGAAACTGAGACTATTTATTATTTGATGACAAATAAATGTTTAATTTGAATTTGATATCAGCAACATGTTTTTATAAAGTTGGGACGGGGCATATTTACCACTGTGTTGCATCACCTCTTCTCTAAACAGCACTCTGTAAACGTTTGGGAACTGAGGAGACCAGTTGCTTGAGTTTTGAAAGTTAAATGTTGTCTCATTCTTGCTTGATATTTGATTTCAGCTGCTCAACCATTGTCGAATTTTTATTCCCTGAAGTGCCAAATGTTTTCAAAGGGTGACAGGTTTGGACTGCAGGCAGGCCATCTAGCACCCGGACTCTTCTACTGTGGAGCCATTCTGCTGTAATACACGAAGAATGCGATTTAGTATTGTCTTGCTGAAATACACAAGGCCTTCTCTGAAAAAGACATTGTGTGTATGGCAGCATATGTTGCTCTAAAACCTGTATATATTGTTCAGCATTAATGGTGCCTTCCCAGATGTGCAAGCTACCCGAGACATGGGTACTACCCCCATACCATCACGGACACTGGGTTTTGAACTGTCCGCTGATAACAAGCTGAATGGTCCTTCTCCTCTCTAAACTGCAGGATGCTGTGTCCATGATTTCCAAAAAGAATTTGAAATTTTGATTCATCAGACCACAGGACAGGTTTCCATTTTGCCTCAGTTAACCTTAAGCGAGTGTTTCTGGATCATCTTAAAACATGTTGTTAAATGTACGTGTGATGTTTCAGCATTCCTATCATTGTCCTGGTATATCTAAGAGGTCTGCAAACCGTAACGCCGTTGTTTCCTCCGTGCTGTCAGTTTTATTCATGTAGGTAGCAATTTTGTTTGATTTTATATTTCACCACTAGATGTCATCAGATCATTGGGAAAAGCCAAACGGAAGCTATTCTTATTTTTTATTTATTTTGATGTATTTTTCCAGTGCACAGGGACTTGCTGTGCTTGTTATTTTGGTCTGAACCATTCCGTGTTCAGGATCACGGTCATGCATCAATCCTAGTTAACATTTTTACATTCTTAAACCCTTTTCAATTACAACCCTGTTCCCAAAAATGTTGGGACGCTGTGTGAAATGTAAATTAAACAAAATGCACTGGTTTGCAAATCTTATAAATCCATGTTTAATTGGAGATAAAACAAAGACAACATCACATGTCGAAACTGATAAAATTTATTGTTTTATGACAAATATATTGTAGCACTGGAGGTACGTGTTGGGCAGCAAGACAGGTTGGACCAGTTCCAACCTGTAATAATGTAAATAGTCCCCTATATCTGTCATGTACTGCAGTGTCATTGTGCTGTAAGTAATGTCATGTGTAGTGTTAAATTTTAATTGTGGTAAACAGTGTGTGTGCGTGTGTGTATTAGGTGTAAGCAGAGTGACTAGCGTGGTATGGATGAAATAAAAACCACCATGTGGTTGAACCATAACCAGACTCCCATAGGTGAATTGCACCTATGACATCACCTACCTAACCATTACAATATGCTTAGTTTGAATTTGATACCAGCAACATGTTTCAAATAACCTGAGACAGGGGCAAGAAAATACCGGAAAAGTTGTGTAATGCTAAAACAAAACACCTGGTTGAATATCTCGCAACTAATTAGGTTAATTACCAACAGGTCAGCAAGATGATTGGGTATAAAAAGAGCTTCCCAGAGAGGCAGAGTCTCTGTGCAGTGAAGATGGGGAGAGGTTCACCACTCTGTGCAGTGAAGATGGGGGGAGGTTCACCACTCTGTGCAGTGAAGATGGGGAGAGGTTCACCACTCTGTGCAGTGAAGATGGGGGGAGGTTCACCACTCTGTGCAGTGAAGATGGGGAGAGGTTCACCACTCTGTGCAGTGAAGATGGGGGGAGGTTCACCACTCTGTGAATGTCTGTGTGAACAAATAGTGCTACAGCTTTAGAATAATGTTCCTCAAAGTAATATTGCAAAGAATTCGGGAATTTCATAATTTATGGTATCTATCATTCAAAGATTCAAAGAATTTAGAGAAATCTCTGCACACAAGGGACGAGGCTGAAGACCAGTACTGGGTAGCTGTGATCTTGTGGTCCTCAGGTGGCACTGCATTAAAAACTGACACGAATCTATAGTGGAAATCACTGCATGGACTCCGGAACACTTCCGAAAAGCACTGTCTGTGAACACAGTTCATCGCTGCATCCACAAATGCAGGATGAAACTCTACTATGCAGAGAAGAAACCAGGTCTAAACCTGATCCAGAAACGGAAGCAGCTGCTGAGGCAGCAGAGTAATGAGGAGAAGGACCATCCAGCTTGTCATCAATGGGCAGCATCCGTGATGGTATGGGGGTTCATTAGTGCCCATGGCTCGGGTAGCTGGCACATCTGGGAAGACACCATTAATGCTGAACGATATATACAGGTTATGGTGCAACATATGCTGCCATCCAGACAACGTCTTTTCAGAGAAAGCCTTGTATATTTCAGCAAAACAATGCCCTCTGCAAATATTACAAGTTTAGGTTCAAGGTTCGAGGTACTTTATTGCCAGCAGCAGCTGTACATGTATATCGTGAGATGAGACATTTCTCCAAGGACCGTGATGCAACATGCAACAGCTTATAACAAGACACAATGTGCACAAGGACAAAAGCAGCACTAAACAGTGTAACAGTGCACGATATATACAGCTTGCTGTACACACGTTTTAAATGTAACCAGCATGATGAAGAGCATGCTGGACATCAGTCATCAGTCATTGGACAAACTGAAATTATAGCAGCTCTTATTGAGTGTTACAGGTAACGTGCAAGTGCCATAGAAATTATAATGGAATTATTGGGAACCATACGGTGAGGTAGTGTTCTAGAATGGCATTTGGCTAGGCAAAATTTTAACATGAATGTGTGAGTGCGAATTCTGATAGCTAATGGTGTGAAGCTTTTACACAGTCTGGTGTTACCAGCCCGCATGCTTCGTTACCATTTACCAGATGGCATAAGAGAAAACAGTCCATGTAGTGGGTGGAATTGGTCTTCGATGATGTTAGTGGCTCTGGGAAAGCAGCGGTTGTGGGAGATGTCCTTCAGGGGAAGTAAAGGCACCCTGATGACCTTCTCAGCTACCCTCACTATCCACTGCAGTGTGTTGCAGTCTGAAACCTTGCAGTTCCCGTACCAGACAGTGATGCAGCTGGAGAGCAGATTTTCAATAGTTCCCATATAGAATGTATTGACGATTGGAGAGGGGAGTCTGGCTCTCTTCAGTATCCGTGAAAAATGCAGGCACTGCCGCAAACTTTTGGCTAAAGAGGCAGAATTGAGGGACCAAGTAAGGTTCTCCGTGATGTGGACACCCAGGAACTTGGTGCTTTTGACCCTCTCTACAGCGGCGCCATCAATGATTAGAAGTGGATGGAGAGCGTTTGTTTTCCTTAAGTCTGTAATCATCTCTTTTGTCTTATCAACATTAAGCGAGAGAGGTTATTGCACTTATACCAGGCAGTGAGTCTTGCAACTTCCTCCATGTACGATGTAGACTGACCTGCCTTTAGTCCAGACCTGAGACCCATTGAAATCATTTGCCGCATCATGAAACGAAAAATACGACAAAGGAGACCCAGAACTGTTGAGCAGTTGAAATCCTATATCAGGCAAGAATGGAAGAGCATTTTACTTTCAAAACCCCAGCAACTGATCTCCTCAGTTCCCAAACGTTTACAGAGTGTCGTTAAAAGAAGAGGTGATGCAACGCAGTGGTAAATTTGCCCTTCTCCAAACTTTTTTGAAACATGTTGCTGGCATCAAATTCAAATTTTGGGGCAGTGTGCTTGTGACTGAAAGGTTGCTGGTTTAACTTCCCGAACAGCAAAACATTACTTTTCTCAGTATACATTAAAGGTAGCCTGCGTGTTTAATACTGTATTCAAGTGTCGTATTCTATCAATGTAGAATCACTGCCTCATACAGGGACAATACTCTGGCATGACCTAGAGCTGT